CAAATTTTTTTAATTTTGGCACTTTTGGCATTTTCCTTAAATTTTTTAAACTGTTTTTAATTACTTAATTATTTACTTTAACAAATATTTGCAAAATAATTAATTTAAAATTTTAGCATACAAATTTGGCAAAGCATCACCGAATTGGGCAAATTTCTGCAATGTTTTCAGAATTCAAAGATTCTTCTACTCAAGCATTTCGCAGTAAACACAACTCGTCGTTCACTAATATCTCAAACGGTTTGCTTATACATTTTGACTTATTCATTTTTTAAAATCTTTTTAATTAGCATATTTATTTACTATCTAATGCGTGTACTTGATTAGTTTTCAATTTTCATTAAGTGGATATAAAAGAATTCATTGTGATTGCATTTTACTTGTTTCTCTCTTTTTTTCAATTATTATCAAAGTAAATTAAATGATTAATTCAATAAAAATGCAAATTTTATTATTTCCTGCAATTTTTTTTGTAGATCTACGTGGTGTTTTCCGCAAATTGACGTCAAAAACAAACACAACTCGCGCTTCTGTAATTGGAATTATTCCTAAAAAAGTCGCATTGACTGTCGAGAAATCATATACAAATTTTACAAAAACTTTTCCAACTTGCAAGTTTTTATTGGCTAAATTTGATTAATGCGAGATTTATTGGAAATTTATAGCACGTTAAATAGATATCTAACTTTTCATAAGAAACGATTGTTGAGCAATCAAATTTTCCCGAACTAATCAATAAATGAGTTCAAATTTTGATTAAATCAACCATAAATTTTGATATGCAATTCAGCATGTAAAGGAAATCCTACTTATTTGACGTAGACTTACTTTCTAATTTCATCTTTCAGTTATGAAAGTATATGAATCGTCGATAACTTAGAACCGCCATAATTAATTTTTTGAATGTTTCAGTCCAGTCAATAGTTCTTCCATCTCAACTCAATGCATATTTGATACGTGTAAATGAAACTGATAGTGATAAGATGGATGATTTACTCGGAAAAGATAATGATAATTTTGAATTTCACATATCTAAAGCTGAATTCCGTCGTTCTTTAAATGGTGGCTGGAGAGCAAATGAAAATAAAAATAATACAGGCTACAACAATTTTTTAAAAATTTTTTCAAGTAAGAATTAAAACTTTTCACTTGACTTTCAAGTAAAAATTATAAGCAAATATATTTCATTTACAAATAATTTATAAAAAACTCAAAAATTTTTATTTTTTAATATTATTCAAATTTTATGCCAAACAAAAAGAATAGTAAAAATACACAGAGGATTATTACAGAGTTCTCAGAATGTGGTGAATTCGATTCAAAACTAGCAGATGCATGTGAGACTGTAGACTGGACACCACGGTACTATTTTGACAGAGAAAGTGGTCAGTGCCGGATGTTCTGGAGCAGTGGCTGTACTTCAGAAAGTGCAAACAACTTCAGGAATCTCTCAAGTTGTCAAGAGCGTTGTGAACAAAGGCAGTCAGAATTACGAGCACATCCATCACGTTCAGATTTTCTCACTGTTGTTGTGTTGAAGCAATGAATACTAGTTTTTAACTTTACAGATTTTGTAGAAAATTAATTCTGTTATTTCACGCTAGCGAAATAAGTTGATGTATAAATGAATTATATGTTATTTGAAGCATAGTGTAAGTTGTAATGATACGGAGGCTAAGTAGAGCACAACTAAATTACAGTGAAAGATTTAAAATTATCGATTGATGGATATGGTTTATCTTTTTTGTCAATTAATTTTTTAAACGATTTTAGCATTTCTTGCTGCTTACTAAATAATGAAGAATACACGTGTGGTAGCAAGTGATAAAAACAGAAACACGTGAGGTAGCAAATGATAAAAATAGAGTACCTTGAACTTTTGACAGTATGTAGAAGTTTGATTTTTTGTATTTTGGCATATATCACAGTAAACAAAAAAATTTTATTCTTACAAAGAATTATTAGTCATGGAATCTTTCTTTATGAAGCATCAGATCAATATTATTCATAATTACAACATTAGATCATACAGTGCGTATTTTGGATCAGGGGTGAGTAGATAATATACAGTTATTTGGTAAGTAAGTATTTATCAAAAACAAAATAGTAAGTATTGATTAATGTTACAAAAAGTTGACATTTTGGTACTTGAAGACAGCAGCAAAGAAGAAACGTTTCCATCAGATTCACCAAGTCGTTGTTTGAAACCAAAAGAAAGTGGCAAATGCTCGGAAACGTTAGTTTCTAAATAATTTGGAATTAGTTAAATGAGTATAGAAATGATACACTGTATATTAACAGTAGGCATTGAAAGAAGTTATATTTTTTTCACATAAAAAGTATTTTGTAATGCGGAAGCACTGACTTTACGTGAGACCTACGTGATTTAAAAATTATGTGCATATTTTCGATACTCATAAATTTTATTCAGATATCCAGCTTATTACTATAATCTGGAAATGCATCGCTGTGAGCCTTTCGTTTACAGTGGTTGTGGTGGTAATTCGAATCGCTTTCTCACGTTACGTCAGTGTCAATCAGTGTGCAGTAAATTTTCTGGATTATCTCGTAGGTACTCAATTGCTTCTCATAATCTCATTTGGAACTTTTTATGCAAAATGCTTGCAATCTGAAATACAATGTACTAATAAATTCTTATTTCAAATGACTTGGATAATTTTGATGATATCATTAAGTTTTTATTTTCCAACTGAAATCAGTCCCAAATTAGCAAAAATAATTTATTTGATGACTAAATATATATGCATAAATTGCCTTAATTGTCACATGTATTGAAAATTAAATTCATGAAATGTTGAGACAATGAATTTTTATGTATTCTTGACGCTAACAAAGTAAATTGCTATTGATATATGCAAATTTTAAGCGTTAGAAGCGAATTGCTTTCTTCCTCTTGATGGTGGCGATGAGCTGATAGAAGAGAAATGTGAACAAGAAGCTGGAATACGTTATTATTTTGATCAAAATCACGGTTGGTTCAGAAAATCATGAAGATATCCAACCAACTCATTCACAAACTATAATATTTGTATTTTATTCAAACAGCTTATTAAACTTTTCCTCATAGTTTCTGCAAATATTCATAAAATCTTATAGAAGGAATCTTCAACTTTCGATAGTTTAATTTTTGTGATCACTGTTCAGTAAAGTTGAAGACTTCCTGAATTTTATTAAAATTTTATTCAAAAATTCTGTAGTAATAATTATAGCTTGCTTATTTGCTTTTATAATATTAATAAGTATTGTTTTACTTAATTGATTTATGCAAATTACTTATTGCAGTAAAAAATACAATTGGAATGATGTAGTCAACGTAAATATTAGCAGTTTCCAGTGTTGAAACTGAATATAGTTTCTGAATGCTAAGTGAAAACTTTTTAGCTGACCAAAAATGAATCAGTACTGTTTGACAGATCAATAATATTGTATAGAATTTAGATAAATTTACAGGTAGATGTGAACGATTTTGGTATTCAGGCTGTGGAGGTAACGAGAACCGATTTTATGATTTAGTCACCTGCGAAAGTGTTTGCCGAGCTGTCATGACAACAACATTTAGCAGCAACGCGTTGCATCCCAAAGGTAATGAATGAGTGACGAATTACTAAATTACCTGTTAAACAACAAGAAAGTAATTAATTCTTCAAGTATGATATTATTTAATTAAATTTAAATACAACACAAACTAGTACTGAAGTAATCAAAATATTGGCATTTTAGTGAAACTTAAAACAATAAATATCGTGAAAATTCTATTAATTTTCAAACTTTATTATCACTTTTCATATCTGAGACTAAATATGATGATTTAAAATAAATTGTAATTGAATTGCATTGGATTAGAATAAGTTAAGGACAAATATAATTTACGTAATCTGAAATATGCTGCTTTTGCAAATATCTTCTGCTGAATTCAGAATCAAATAATTTTAATTTAATCATTCAAAGCCTTTTATGTTTTAAGTTTGCTTTCAACCGATCCAAAAAGGCAAATGCATGAATAAGACTCGTAGAAGTGTCCAAAGATGGGCCTACGATCACGTGAAACTTCGCTGTGTTACGTTTGATTACGCTGGTTGCAACGGAAATGAAAACCGTTTTGCAACAGAATTTGCATGTAACATGAATTGTAAAGGGCTAAAACTTCCTTTAAATGGTCATTAGCATTTTTTGACAAAAATTATTTCAAATAAAACGTTTTCTTATAAATAAATTCATTAATTTTAGCGATTTTAATTGTTTTCTTTATGGTAATTTTTTCAAGTGTATTTTTTGAGTGTCAAAATTAAGCTTGTGACAAAAACAAATTATAAAAGTTTTTTTAAATTATTTTATTCCGATTTTTAATTACAATTTCTTTCACTAATATTCAAATATTATTGAAATAGTCATTTTTAGAACGTTGCATGAATTATCCAAACTGGGGATACTGTAATCATTTGAACTATCGCTGGTTTTACAATTTAACAAAAGGTACCTGTCAACAATTTCTTTGGGGTGGTTGCGATGATGGCAATGAAAATCGCTTCGAAACTTTTGAAATCTGCCAGCAAAGCTGTGAGATACCAACAGAAAGTTTGTCATTCATGGAAAAAATACCTTCATTAAGTTTCTTAAATTTTAGAAAATTTTGATAATCAATAAATTTATCAAATTTGTTTATAAAGATTTACATATGCTGAATGATAATAGTAAATCCTTTTATGTAAATATTAAATATCTTTAGAGCTATTAATATTGCAATAATTCAAAAATTCAATGTAATAATTATTCGAAAAGAAATATTTTATTTTTCAGTGATATTTTTAATGCTCGCGAATTTTAAAAATTTTAAATAAAAAAAATAAAATTGAATTATAAAATTTGATAAAAATTATAAAATAGAATCGAGCAATGATGCTACATCTTAGATGATGATGTTTTTATCAATTACTGATTAGAAAAATGAAATTCAAGATGTATGCATGGAACCACTGGATCGCGGTCATTGGTGTGAGCCCATGTCATCTCGGTATTATTACAATATTGATTCAAAATTATGCAAAGGATTCCATTACACTGGTTGTGGAAACAGTCGAAATATATTCATGACCAAACAAGAGTGTCAGAAGAAGTAGCATTTTAGAAGCTTTACAGCATAAAGCTATATAAGAGATTGAGGTTTTATATTGTCAAGAATGGCTATTTCAGATAATTCCGTTCATCACTGAACAAACATGTTAATATTTTTGAAATAACTTAAAAGACTGCAAGAGAGTACAAAAATTCAAATATCTAATAGAGTTAATACATTTTAGATGCGTTACTCAAAGCTTGCCTAGTCTTTCGATGCCATTTAATTTAAATTCAAGTCCGGAATTGAAGTGTGAGTTAGTTTACTTTGAAAATAATAAGTATTTTCTAAAACTTTGTCAATATTAGTGTTCCACTGATTGTTATTATCATTATTGCTATCATTGTTATCATTAATATTATTTGACTATCAAATCTGAACAGATTGTCCAAACCAACTGTTTAGATAAAGGTGTTAAGCCTCCTGAAAAGCACGTGGTAGTTGTACACAAAGTTTTGAATGCTGCTAGTATACCTAATTTGAAGACAGATGATCAGTGGATGGAATATGGACAATGCGTTGGATTCAGGTATTCATCTCCAAATTTGTTTCTCATAAGGTTAAACGTCAAGGCTAAAGCTTCTTAAAAAGTTTTATCCATCATTTGATGGTTGTCACGTTAGACTTCTAAGCATTAAGATTTTAACATCAACATTAGCTGTTTATTTTTCATCAAAATGTTATATACTGATACTATGTATTGATTTTCACTGTATACTGAAACTTACTGTATTGATTTTCTGACTGATCTAGGTACAATATTAGTGGTGCAAAAACTCGACTAACAAGCTATCTTTGTTCCATGGGAAAAAATGGCTCATGCCATTCACATGCAGTTTGTTAACTTTTTAATTTATTATTAGCAATATTATATATCAAAAATTCGAAAAAAACCACTCAAAATTAATCTGCATCATTGATTTGATCTGTTTTACTAATTCCTTGATGATAAGATTGTATTTTATCAAATTTGTCACCTACAGTTGCAAAATCAGTTTTGTTAATGATTGTACACAGAAATGATAATGATAAAAACGATACTGATATTTATCAGAATGTTATCATCGTAAAAGCTTATAGATATATCTTGCAGACTTTGACAAGCACAGATGGTGACGAAAAGTGTTTTCTGGTTCACCCATGGTTAAAAGGTTTACATTTATATTCTTGGTTCTTCACTATCGATCAGCGACCTGATATAATCAGTAAACAGTCTCTGAACCAAACAACAGCAGCACTGATAATTTTGCCACCGAATGATTGCCATAGCATTTGCTAACATTTTCAAAAATTATTTTTGAATTTTGAATTAGTTAATACTTACTATGGATTAAGCTTTTATTAAATTTGAATTGTTCCCAAAATGTATAATTCAAATTCAAATTTGATTTGAAAAATTTTGTAGCAGAGCAAATTCATGCCTGGATGATAAAATCGTTTACATATCACTGACCATAATACTGAACTTTTTATCAAAATATATAAAAAAATATATTTACACTTCACACTTAATTCTTTTTATTCCTTTATTATTTATTTGCTTAGACAGCGACCAATTATAGAATAAGCATAAGAAAATTTGTGATTTCAAAGAATCCAATTTATAAATTAAAAATTGAAATATTAAATTACATTTTATGAGAATACTTGTCGAGTCGTTTTGTTTGCAATTTTTTTGCGTTTATTTTATTTCTTTCCATCGGTCTCAACACAAGTTGAAATTTGAAAAATGGCAAGGAAAAGTTTCAAATATTCAAAAAAGTAAACTGTAGAACGAATTATTGTCACTAGTATGTCATCGAAATTGAAAATAGAACTTATTTACACTTAATTTTTTAAAAAAATGATAAATTTGTTGCAATTGATGTGTATTGTACGTGCTGCAATACGTGCGATGCCACGTAAATAATTTGAACAAATTAGTTCAATATATACGTGAAATGGTCTGAATTTTTAAATTTATTGCTGCTTTTGTATTCAACTATAAATTGCTTCTAATTTTTCCAATCACATATTAATATGAGATTGTTTTTTTTTTGGATTTTTGGTAAAAAAAGATTTGCTCTGCAGGATATTGAGAATTATGTATGATTGATTTTGAGAAACTTAAATATTTTTCCCTTGCATTTTGACCTATTTTCTTCACTGTGCTATTTAATTATTATTAGTTCATATACTGTTTATGACATTTTGTCACTGAAACTTACAGATAAAACAAATAGATCTCAGTTGTTTCTATTGCAACAAGCATGACTTATACATTGACTTGTTTTCTTCACTGATCTACTTTAAGCTATCGTTAGCACTAACATCTTCGTTTTCTACAAAAGTTAGCTTTCTAATCACCAAGTCTTAAAAAACTATCATTTATTGGAATTTATTGCATAAATGAGAACTCAAACCATTATAATTAATTATTGTGATAAATTTTAATATAATCCAACTGACTAGTAAGTTATACTTTTGCTACAATATAGTTCGTAAATTTGAATATGATCAATAATGCTTGATACACAATTTTATTTAGAAACTTAATTGCAGCTAATGTAAACATTTCAGTAATCAATCTGAAAATGATTATTATTTCATACATGAATAATTTATGCAAATTTTTTTCTTTTCTGCGATAAAAATTTGCATGCAGAAATTAGCCTGCAATTGTGTTATGCCCTTTGTGAAAAAGCTCCTCAAAAATGAATGAATTTGTAGAATTTAAAAAGCAAATTTGCCAAAAAAAGAAAAAAGAAAAAACATGTTTTCAAAGACAAACAAAAAAAATAACCGGAAAAAATAAATGAAAATTTATTTGTATTTGTTAGTAGAAGCGTTGATGATTGGAAAGTTGTAATTGTAGTAATATGTGATGGTTTTGCATAATGGATAATTCTGAAAAAAATATGCAAGAAAGCAAAAATAATAGATATCTATCTATGTATGTATCTATCTATCTATCTATCTATGTATCTATCTATCTATTCGTTGATATGTTTGTAGACAAGAAGAGTTTGGGACAGCACAATACAATGCAAAATAATTGCAAGGGTATGTGACATTCGGAAATGAGAAAATAACACCAATGCGAGGCAAAAAAGTCAAAAAAATGGCTGGGATTTGTAAAGTTTTCAGTTAAATGATACTTTTTTGCAGTAAAAATTAACGACTGAAAAATTATGCGAAAAATTTGACGAAAGTTTACAGAGGTTGCACTTGGATGCATTACTAAAATGTGGATGTTTGAATTGCAACCTGCACCTTTTGTCTTCCAGAAAGAGATACCAAAAGAGCAATTACATGAATGAGTAAAGTCAGACTGAAATCCATTAAGATTTGAACAACAGAACTCGAGGTTAAAGTGCATTTAAAATAAGTTCAAAGTTTGATACCAATGAGTACAGCACGTAAATTTCATGAAATGCACCGAAAATTTTTGAAAAATTCTACAGCCCGCATGGTTTGAAGTAGATAATTGATGAAGTTTTTTAAAAGCATTCTTAAAATTGGTGTTATTAATCTCTGAAGCTAAAAATTAATTAAAATTGAATTAGAAAAATTCCATGCAAAACTTAATAAAGGAAAAATCGAACGCTTGATTAATCCACAGCTTGCATCAGAGCCATATTACTTTAAAACCTGCCTCTGCATGACAACCAAAAGGATAAATTTGTAAAGGAGCAAAAAGTTAAATAAAATAAATTTAAAATTAAAACCAAAATTAATACTGCAAAGAAAAATATTTTATCATATTTGGATTAAAATTTGAACTGTAATCAGATAATTAATTTTAACTGAAAATAATAATACAAATTTTGTACCTGTGTTGAAAGTACTGAATTTAACAAAATATTAGACCAAATTTGTCAAAATATTAAATTTGGTTTAACAATGAGCTCAATTCAGCATTGATGAGCATAATTAATATAATTAATTATATTCGCTCCATTATGCAAATACTATATAATAAAATCATATGAACGTTTCTAATGATAATTTAG